TTGGTGTCAGTGGGAGGAAAAGTGCCCCATCATTGGTGTCAGTGGGAGAATAGATGTCCCATCATTGGTGTCAGTGGGAGAAATAGTGCCCCATCATTGGTGTCAGTGGGAGGAATAGTGTCCCCATCATTGGTGTCAATGGGAGGAATAGTGCCCCATCATTGGTGTCAGTGGGAGGAATAGTGTGTCCCATCATTGGTGTCAGTGGGAGAAATAGTGCCCCATCATTGGTGTCAGTGGGAGGAATAGTGCCCCATCATTGGTGTCAGTGGGAGGAATAGTGCCCCATCATTGGTGTCAGTGGGAGGAATAGTGCCCCATCATTGGTGTCAGTGGGAGGAATAGTGCCCCATCATTGGTGTCAGTGGGAGGAATAGTGCCCCATCATTGGTGTCAGTGGGGGAATAGTGCCCCATCATTGGTGTCAGTGGGGGGAATAGTGCCCCATCATTGGTGTCAGTGGGAGGAATAGTGTCCCATCATTGGTGTCAGTTGGAGGAATAGTGCCCCATCATTGGTGTCAGTGAGAGGCTTCTTTTTGGTTGGGCTATTGGAGCCCATCTTGGTTGTTTTTGAGGAATAGTATGTTCATTGGTGTTTTGTGTGTTTTTGGTTTCCCTCTGTTAGTGTCCGTCTCCTCCGTTGTCCTCGTCTCCTCTAGTGTCCTCGTCTCATCGTTGTCCTCGTCTCCTCCGTTGTCCTGTCTCCTCCGTTGTCTCGTCTCCTCCGTTGTCCTCGTCTCCTCTTTGTTGTCCTCGTCTGAGTCCTCGTCCTCCGTTGTCCTCGTCTCCTCCGTGTGTCCTCTTCCCTCCGTTGTCCTCGTCCCTCCGTTGTCCTCGTCTCCTCCGTTGTCCTCGTCTCCTCCGTTGTCCTCGTCTCCTCCGTTGTCCTCCGTCTCCTCCGTTGTCCTCGTCTCCTCCGTTGTCCTCCGTTCTCCTCCGTTGTCCTCGTCTCCTCCGTTGTCCTCGTCTCCTCCGTTGTCCTCGTCTCCTCCGTTGTCCTCGTCTCCTCCGTTGTCCTCGTCTCCTCCGTTGTCCTCGTCTCCTCCGTTGTCCTCGTCTCCTCCGTTGTCCTCTTCTCCTCCGTTGTCCTCTTCTCCTCCGTTGTCCTCGTCTCCTCCGTTGTCCTCTTCCTCCTCCGTTGTCCTTGTCTTCTCCTCCGTTGTCCTCTGTCTCCTCCGTTGTCCTCTTCTCCTCCGTTGTCCTCTTCTCCTCCGTTGTCCTCGTCTCTCTCCGTTGTCCTCTTCTCCTCCGTTGTCCTCGTCTCCTCCGTTGTCCTCGTTCTCCTCCGTTGTCCTCTTCTCCTCCGTTGTCCTCCTCTCCTCCGTTGTCCTCGTCTCCTCCGTTGTCCTCGTCTCCTCCGTTGTCCTCGTCTCCTCCGTTGTCCTCGTCTCCTCCGTTGTCCTCGTCTCCTCCGTTGTCCTCGTCTCCTCCGTTGTCCTCGTCTCCTCCGTTGTCCTCGTCTCCTCCGTTGTCCTCGTCTCCTCCGTTGTCCTCGTCTCCTCCGTTGTCCTCGTCTCCTCCGTTGTCCTCGTCTCCTCCGTTGTCCTCGTCTCCTCCGTTGTCCTCGTCTCCTCCGTTGTCCTCGTCTCCTCGTTGTCCTCTTTGTCTCCTCCGTTGTCCTCTTCTCCTCCGTTGTCCTCGTTCTCCTCCGTTGTCCTCTTCTCCTCCGTTGTCCTCTTCTTCTTGATGTTCCTTGGAGACATCTCAGTCTTCTCTGTATCGGCTCGTGTACTGTTCAATATGAAAAAGAAAATGTGATTGTTGACTTTTCCTGTAAAGTCCATTTCTTGGAGTACGGGACACCCTCCCATCTGTGGTCTCCATGTCTTCATACGGAACTGAGGATTGCTGGGAGGTGGAGGAGTTCATTTGGGAGTCCTCACAGCTTTTTTTTTTTTTTTTTTTTTTTTTTTTTTTTTTTTTAGCATCCAATCACCTGTAGGTAGCAGTTACCGTTGAATCTGCCCTGGACTGTACCCCAAGTTATAGATTTGACCGGTGAGTCACATCCCATTGGGCGACTGAAATATGCAGGAGCCAATGATGGGTTCACCGACCCCCCCCCCCCCCCCCAGATTTTATTCATCCAGCAGTCTCCATACATCTCCATGCAGCCCTTTGCAAAGACCTATACAGGACCTAGAACACCAGGAAGTGTAGAAATACTCGTAGCCTGGCCTGAAGAGCTGACACTCTAATGTGAAAGGCACAGAGGCCACAGCTGTAGTGCAGTGAGCAGTAATGGAGTCCACCATGCCATATCTGCTGTGACTTGTTTTCTCTTTGTCCTAGGTAAGGGGGCAGAGCGCTCAGGAGGCAGTAAGACGCTGGTCTCCTTTCCAGTGAAAGCGCCTCATGTCCGGCCATCGGTGTCAGGTGAGAACGCAGTCCACCCATCCACAATTCTCCAACATCTGGATGTAGGAAGGGAAAGTTCTGTGGACCCGGGGGAGAAAACAGAGAGATCAGAACCTCGCAAGAAGAAGAAGATGATTCCTCCTCCTCCTCCTCCTCCTCCTCCTCCGACTCTGACTCAGACAGTGACCAGGAGGAGGCAGATCAGAGGAAGCAACCTGCTGAGAAGGAGAAAGATCAATCAGACCAGAAATGGAGCTCTAAGGACCAGCAGACACAAATAGGAAGACCAGAAACCCGAGAACAGGAAAGTCTGGGTGGAGAGAAAGCTGGAGAAGGCTTGACAGATGTTCTCCCACCTGGGAGCACACTGAAAGAGAAACACAAGATACAGAATGTACCCCACTTTAGGGAGAGGACACTCAGCGGTGGCCAGGGTCTCATTGGAGAAGAATCAGCAGTTGTTGCTCCGGCTACACAAAGTCTAAGAAGAAGAAGATTCTCATGGTGGCCAAGATCTCATTGGAGAAGAATTAGTGGATGTTTCTCCCAGCTGTGAACAGACAGTCTGCAGAGAAGAAACCCATTGGTGGCCAAGATCTTACTGGGAAGACTTGGTGGATGTTGCCCCGGCTGTGGACACACAGATACAGAATATAACTCAGTCTGCGGAGAAGACACCCATTGGTGGCCAAGATCATACTAAAGAAGACTTGGTGGATGTTGCCCCCGCTGTGGACACACAGTAGCTCAGTGTGGAGAAGACGCCCATGGTGTCCAGGATCGTAGTAGAGAAGACTTGGTGGATGTTGCCCCGCTGTGGACACACAGATACAGAATATACCTCAGTCTGCGGAGAAGGCACCCAGTGGTGGCCAGGATCGTACTAGAGAAGACTTGATGGATGTTGCCCCCAATGTGGACACACACAGAATATACCTGCGGAGAAGACACCCAGTGGTGGCCATGATCCTACTAGAGAAGACTTGGTAGATGTTGCACCTACAACAGGAACAGAGGAACCAGCACATGACGAGGCTCAGGCTCCAGAGCAGGCTGAGGAGGCGAGACATGCCAGCGGCCAGGGTCAGGATGTCGAAGAAATGCCGTCTTCTGATGGGAACAAAGATCCATCTGGAGAACCTTCAGTCTCTTCTCCTGATCTTCTGGGTGCACCTGATGATCTTTCACCGGCAGCTTCATGTGAGCAGAGCTCCATACAGAGATACATTGTTCCCTCTGCTTCCTTCCTGCTCTTTTCCCGGACACATCACCTGACCTCAGATGGTGCAGGAAGTCTACTCTCTTCCTGTGGCCATTTTCTGTCACTATAGGGCGCTGTGTGCGGCTGATGTGTCCATGCTCAACCTTCTTTTGTTCCCCTGCCGCCTTCATACTAGGTACTAAAACTTCTCTCGTTACTGACGCTCGCCTTGTGCGCTTCTGTCACTTCATATTCTCGCTCCCGCTATCTCTCCCATCGCTGTTCAGTAATCTCTCCTTCCCTGTGCGGCAATCTCATGGCGCTCTCTCTTCCTCTGCATCAATCTGTCATACATGGCGCTCCCGGCATGTGTTCTGTCTGTCACATTCTGCCCTCATGTGTCTCGATGTATTTTCTCTCTGGTATACTTTGTACATGGTGGTCTCCATTCTGTTCCCCCTTCTTTTTGGCCCCGCACGTTCTCATGTTTGCAGTAAGTTGGGTTTGTCATAAGACACTTTTGGATCGCAGGAGTAAGGTAAGTAGTAAGAAGAGATGAATGGCAACAGGAGCAAAATCTGGATTTCCTGCTATGAAGTGTAGGGAGCGCCTGGAAGGCCAAAATCCCAACCAAAATTTAGCCTGTTACTGGGCACCTGTGAATGGCCCAGACAGAAGAATCACAGTCCAAATCTGACGTCCTCACCCTGGGAGACTCGCGGCCCCAATGTGACACCCTCACCATGGGAGACTCACAGCCCCAATGTGACGCCCTCACCCTGGGAGACTCGCAGCCCGAATGAGACACCCACCATCACCATGGGAGACTCGCAGCCCCAATGTGACACCCTCACCATGGGAGACTCGCAGCCCGAATGTGACAACCATGGGAGACTGACAGCCCCAATCACCCTCACCATGGGAGACTCGCAGCCCGAATGTGACGCCCTCACCCTGGGAGACTCGCAGCCCGAATGAGACACCCTCACCATGGGAGACTCGCAGCCCCAATGTGACACCCTCACCATGGGAGACTCGCAGCCCGAATGTGACGCCCTCACCCTGGGAGACTCGCGGCCCGAATGTGACACCCTCACCATGGGAGACTCGCAGCCCGAATGTGACACCCTCACCATGGGACACTCGCAGCCCGAATGTGACGTCCTCCCCATGGGAGGCTCACAGCCCGATTGTGACGTTCTCACCATGGGAGACTCGCGGCCTGAATGTGACACCCTCACCCCGATGGGAGACTTACAGCCCGAATGTGACGCCCTGTGACACCCTGGGAGACTCGCAGCCCGATGTGACGCCCTCACCATGGGAGACTCGCAGCCTGAATGTGACCCCTCACCATGGGAGACTCGCACAGCCCGAATGTGACGCCCTCACCCTGGGAGACTCGCAGCCCGAATGTGACGACACCCCTCACCCGATGGGAGACTCACAGCCCGAATGTGACACCCTCACCCTGGGAGACTCGCTGTGACACCCTCACCATGGGAGACTCACAGCCCGAATGTGACGTTCTCACCATGGGAGACTCGCAGCCCGAATGTGACGCCCTCACCATGGGAGACTCCAGCCCGAATGTGACCCTCACCATGGGAGACTCGCAGCCCGAATGTGACACCCTCACCATGGGAGACTCGCAGCCCGAATGTGACGCCCTCACCACCCTGGGAGACTCGCAGCCCGAATGTGACTGACACCTCACCCCACCCTGGGAGAGACTCGCAGCCCGAATGTGACGCCCCTCACCCATGGGACTCGGCCCGAGACTCACCATGGGAGACTCGCAATGTGACGCCCTCACCATGGGAGACTCGCAGCCCGAATGTGACGCCCTCACCCTGGGAGACTCGCAGCCCGAATGTGACGCCACCATGGGAGACTCGCAGCCCGAATGTGAGACCCTCACCCATGGGAGACAGCCCGAATGTGACGCCCTCACCCTGGGAGACTCGCAGCCCGAATGTGACGCCCTCACCATGGGAGACTCGCAGCCCGAATGTGACACCCTCACCATGGGAGACTCGCAGCCCGAATGTGACGTTCTCACCCTGGGAGACTCGCAGCCCGAATGTGACGCCCTCACCATGGGAGACGACTCGAGCCCCAATGTGACCCCTCACCCTGGGAGACTCGCAGCCCCAATGTGACGCCCTCACCCTGGGAGAGACTCTCGCAGCCCGAATGTGACGCCCTCACCCTGGGAGACTCGCAGCCCGAATGTGACGTGACCCCTCACCATGGGACTCACAGCCCGACTCGCGGCCCGAATGTGACGCCCTCACCATGGGAGACTCACAGCCCGAATGTGACTCACCTCACAGCCCGAGTTCTCACTGGAGACTCAGCCCGATTGTGACGTTCCCTCACCATGGGAGACTCGCAGCCCGAATGTGACACCTCACCCATGGGAGACTCACAGCCCGAATGTGACGCCCTCACCCTGGGAGACTCGCAGCCCGAATGTGACGCCCCACCACCATGGGAGACTCGCAGCCCGAATGTGACACCCTCACCCTGGGAGACTTGCAGCCCGAATGTCCTCACCCCGTGACGACCCTCACCCTGGGAGACTCGCAGCCCCAATGTGGGCCCCTCACCCTGGAGACTCGCACCCGAATGTGACGCCTCTACCCTGGGAGACTCGCAGCCCGAATGCCCCGGGAGACTCCGCAGCCCGAATGTGACGCCCTCACTGGGAGACTCGCAGCCCAATGTGACGCCCTGGGAGACTCCGAATGTGACGCCCTTACCCTGGGAGACTCACAGCCCGAATGTGACGCCCCTCACCCTGGGAGGCTCGCAGCCCGAGTCTGTGGAGGGAGACTCGCAGCCCGAATCTGACGCCCTCCCTGGGAGAGTCCACACCCTGGAGACTCGCATTTCCGAATGTGACCCTCACCCTGGGAGACTCACAGCCCGAAATTGACGCCTCACCCCCAGGAGACTCGCAGCCCGAATCTGACATCTCACCCTCTCGGGAGGGAGACTCACAGCCCGAATGTGAGATTTACGCCTGATGTTCTCACCATGGGAGAAGCCCCTCGCCATCTCAGCTGTGACGCGGACACTCAATGTCCGTGGCTGACCTCTTCACGCCCTCCGACGCCATCGAGACTCGCGGCCCGAAATCTGACGCCCTCACCCATCGGAGACTCGCTGGCCCGAATTGACGCCCTCACCCATCGGAGACTCGCAGCCGCGTCTGACGCCCTCGCCATCGGAGACTCGCGGGCCGCGTGTGACGCCCTCACCATGGGAGACTCCGGCCCGCGTGACGCCCTCCCATCGGAGACTCGCGCGCAGCCCGCGTGACGCCCTCGCCATCGGAGACTCGCAGGCCGCGTCTGACGCCCTCGCCTGGAGACTCGCGGCCGAATCTGACGCCCTACGCCATCGGAGACTCGCGGGCCCGAATCTGACGCCCTCGCCATCGGAGACTCGCAGCCCGAATGTGACGCCCTCGCCCGGAGACTCGCAGGCCGTCGACGTGACGTCCTCACCCTGGGACTCGCCCTCGCCACGCCCTACCCTGGGAGACTCGGAGCCCGCGTGGCCGCGTCTCACCCCTGAGAGACTCGCGCCCGAATGTGACGCCCTCACCCTCGGAGACTCGCGGCCCGAATGTGACGCCCTCACCATGGAGACTCACAGCCCGTCTCTTTCGCCACTCGCCATCGGAGACTCGCGGGCCGCGTCTGATGCCCTCGCCATCGGAGACTCGCGGGCCGCGTCTGACGCCCATCGCCATCGGAGACTCGCGGGCCGCGTCTGACGCCCTCGCCATCGGAGACTCGCGGGCCGCGTCTGACGCCCTCGCCATCGGAGACTCGCGGGCCGCGTCTGACGCCCTCGCCATCGGAGACTCGCGGGCCGCGTCTGACGCCCTCGCCATCGGAGACTCGCGGGCGCGTCGACTGACGCCCTCGCCATCGGAGACGCGCGGGCCGCGTCTGACGCCCTCGCCATCGGAGACTCGCGCGGCCGCGTCTGACGCCCTCGCCATCGGAGACTCGCGGGCCGCGTCTGACGCCCTCGCCATCGGAGACTCGCGGGCCGCGTCTGACGCCCTCGCCATCGGAGACTCGCGGGCCGCGTCTGACGCCCTCGCCATCGGAGACTCGCGGGCCGCGTCTGACGCCCTCGCCATCGGAGACTCGCGGGCCGCGTCTGACGCCCTCGCCATCGGAGACTCGCGGGCCGCGTCTGACGCCCTCGCCATCGGAGACTCGCGGGCCGCGTCTGACGCCCTCGCCATCGGAGACTCGCGGGCCGCGTCTGACGCCCTCGCCATCGGAGACTCGCGGGGCCGCGTCTGACGCCCTCGCCATCGGAGACTCGCGGGCCGCGTCTGACGCCCTCGCCATCGGAGACTCGCGGGCCGCGTCTGACGCCCTCGCCCATCGGAGACTCGCGGGCCGCCGCGTCTGACGCCCTCGCCATCGGAGACTCGCGGGCCGCGTCTGACGCCCTCGCCATCGGAGACTCGCGGGCCGCGTCTGACGCCCTCGCCATCGGAGACTCGCGGGCCGCGTCTGACGCCCTCGCCATCGAAGCAGCACAGCCTGAGTCTGACGTCCTTCCCTAGGGTACTCAGAGTCCAAGCGTGGCGTCCTCACCTTGGAGCCTCACGGTCCGAGCGCGGCGTCTTCGCCGTGGAGCCTCGCAGTCCGAGCGCGGCGTCTTCACCGTGGAGCCTCGCAGTCCGAGCGCGGCGTCCTCACCGTGGAGCCTCGCAGTCCGAGCGCGGCGTCCTCACCTTGGAGCCTCGCAGTCCGAGCGCGACATCCACATCACAGGAAAAGCAGAGCCCAAGTCTGATGGTGGATGATGTCCTAGAAGGTGATAGAAGATCATTTTGTCCAGGCACAACAGAAGTATCCTACAAAGATGTTTTTCAGTGTCTTTTGGTTACCGGTTTCCTGTGACCTTTGGGATCATTTGGTAAAAAATGTCAGCTAACCCACAAGGATGTTTCTTCTAAAACTTCTGTGGAAAGGTCAGCAGCCTGGCCTCTACTGGCATCACCGAGGGGGCTCAAGCATTGGAAGACGTCTGGAAAATGTCCTCAAAGACTAAGTGTGAGAAGCTGTAGTTCCATAGTTGGTCTGGCTGAAAAAAGACAAAAGTCCATCCAGTTCAACCATAGTGTAGTGTCATCCGTTGAGATTTCAATGGGTGATGAGAGGGCTACAGGAAGGACAACTCTGGGCAGATCTTTAACTGGAAGATGAAAAAGTTAAATATTGGGAAGAGTCCTGAGGCTTGCCGTATATAATGTCTGCTGTATCCGTATAGTCTTTGCTAAATGGCCTTGGTTTAGAGTCCATATCTGGTTGCCCCCATGAACTGCAGATGACAGCTGTGAGATGGAGGTCCTGGTATTGCTCTTCTGGTGTCATCTACTAGATATTCTGCCTTTGCCTCTGCTCTTAGATTCAGGGAAAGTCCATATTCATCCCGTAATGCAGAACATCTCAGGCTGTACACCCATAGATGCCTCACCAAGGGTCCTACAGACAGATACAATATAGGGGGTTTACATACAAATCGAATCTAGACGTTCGTAAACATTAGGCGGTGGTGACTATTTAGGAGACACGTCGGGTGAACACTCATACTGGGACTGGTGACAGTGCAGATACTCGGGGAGGGGGCGGGACTGTAGAATCTCCCATCTATTCCTATCACCCTTCCCATGTTTAGTTTTAAATGTTTGTATTTCTAAGAAATTCTGATTTACTGCAGAATGTTGGCCCCCCCTGCGTGTTGTCTGTAGTACTGCAGTGTGCAGGTCTTTCCCTTTTTTCTGCTGACTTTTATGATTTCCAGATTTGCACTCTAACATGTTCTCCTCTTCCTTTTTAGTGACTCCACCTCCTACATCTGCCGCTCCACCCCCAGAGGAGCCCTTTGATAATTCCAAATATCAGAACCAACAGCACCACTCATACACCCCACTTACCTTTGTGAATTATGACGTAGACCTCGCCAAGTACCGCCTCCCTCAGCCTTCATCTGGGAGACCCTCCCCCCAACATTGAGTGGGTCGGCTTCTGGGAGACGCTCCTGCTGACACTGAGACCACCTTCATCTGGAAGGCCCACCAGCCTGACGCTGAGACCATCTCCATCTGGAAGGACCACCTTCATCTGGGAGGTCTTCCTCCACCCAACAGTGAGACCACCAGTGATGGCACTGCAGATGTTCAATAAATAATAAACATGTATATTCTCTATGAATGGCTCTGTGTTGTCTGATTATTGGGGATCAGGACTTTGCAGTGTTGAAGGTTTTTTTATTTTTAACAGAAACAATTTTAGAGTCTTTTACAGCTTTCTCCAAAGGTCGCTGCTCGCTAATCAACTACAAGCACTTCTTTGAATTTGAGGGGGTCCTATGGCACTGGCATGGACCGGTGAGGGGTCCTGTGGCACTGGCATGGACCGGTGAGGGGTCCTGTGGCACTGGCATGGACCGTGAGGGGTCCTTGGCACTGGCATGGGCCGGTGAGGGTCCTGTGGCACTGGCATGGGCCGGTGACCTGTGGCACTGGCATGGGCCGGTGAGGGGTCCTGTGGCACTGGCATGGGCCGGTGAGGGGTCCTGTGGCACTGGCATGGGCCGGTGAGGGGTCCTGTGGCACTGGCATGGACTGGCACTGGCATGGACCGGTGAGGGGTCCTGTGGCACTGGCATGGACCGGTGAGGGGTCCTGTGGCACTGGCATGGACCGGTGAGGGGTCCTCTGGCACTGGCATGGACCGGTGAGGGGTCCTGTGGCACTGGCATGGACCGGGGAGGGGTCCTGTGGCACTGGCATGGACCGGTGAGGGGTCCTGTGGGGCATGGACCGGTGAGGGGTCCTGTGGCACTGGCATGGACCGGTGAGGGGTCCTGTGGCACTGGCATGGGCCGGTGAGGGGTCCTGTGGCACTGGCATGGACCGGTGAGGGGTCCTGTGGCACTGGCATGGACCGGGGAGGGGTCCTGTGGCACTGGCATGGACCGGTGAGGGGTCCTGTGGCACTGGCATGGACCGGTGAGGGGTCCTGTGGCACTGGCATGGGCCGGTGAGGGGTCCTGTGGCACTGGCATGGGCCGGTGAGGGGTCCTGTGGCACTGGCATGGGCCGGTGAGGGGTCCTGTGGCACTGGCATGGACCGGTGAGGGGTCCTGTGGCACTGGCATGGACCGGTGAGGGGTCCTGTGGCACTGGCATGGACCGGTGAGGGGTCCTGTGGCACTGGCATGGACCGGTGAGGGGTCCTTAGGCACTGGCATGGACTGGTGAGGGACCCTTGACTTGATGCCAGACTGGGATCACAAAGGGTTCCTTTCAGTTTTTGGAGCAGTGTATATTCTTCCCAGACCGAGCCATAGGCTTCTTCTGCTGAGGAAGGTGGACAGTCTTGCCACCACTGGCATTATTGATGAAGGCATCCAAGGCAGCCCTGAGGAGGTATTGTCCCCTCAACAGTCATGTGCAGCAAGTGCTTCCTGCATGCCTGCTCTGCAGATTAACACTTTGGACAGAGATCTGTTCATGGTCACCGACAGCAGAAGAGGCCAATAACTCCTCTACACTGCAGAGATGACCTCCCAATGTTCTATGGCCAAGCGATCCAGTTGCCAAGATTGAATAAAGACACCAGTCCATCCAGTCCAACCTGCATGTGTGTTTACGTCAATATGATTTCCCATATCCCTGTATATTGCTAAGATGCCCATCTCATTCATCTTCTGAAACTATTGATACTTTCCACTGATTGCGGAAGGGAGATCCACATCCTTACCGCTCTAACAGTAGCAGGAACGGTCCTTCATGAATCTATCAATCGCTACTAAAGCTACTATTATCACGTGCAAACTCTTGGATATGGTCCCTGATCATCCCCTCCAGTAGTTTACATACTATTGATGTTAGACTGACTGGCCTGTAGTTTCCAGGAATGTATCTTGGCTCTTTTTTTTCTCTTTATTAGTACCACGTTTGCCTTTCTCCAGTCAGCTGATATCGTTCCAGTCCTTCAGCTGTCCGTAAATATTAGGAATACCGGCCTGGCAACAACCTGGCTAAGTTCTCTGAGGACTCTCGGGTGTCAGCCATCTGGTCCTGGTGATTTATGTTACGTTTTTCAAATCCCATTACGGTCACCGGCCACGAAGGTGCATTCTGTGATGTGCTACTAACAATACAGCCTTCTCCTTGTCATCTGTGACCATCTTCCCCCGTTCAATATTTTATGGGACCAGTAGGCTCTGAGCTCACTTTCTTACTGTTGATATGGGACCAGTAGGCTCTGACCTCGCTTTCTTACTGTTGTTATGGGGCCAGTAGGAGCTCACTTTCTTACTGTTGATATGGGACCAGTAGGCTCTGAGCTCACTTTTACTGTTGATATGGGACCAGTAGGCTCTGACCTTGCTTTCTTACTGTTATGGGGCCAGTAGGCTCTGACCTCGCTTTCTTACTGTTGATATGGGACCAGTAGGCTCCGACCTCGCTTTCCTACTGTTGATATTGGACCAGTAGGCTCCGACCTCGCTTTCTTACTGTTGATATGGGACCAGTAGGCTCTGACCTCGCTTTCTTACTGTTGATATGGGACCAGTAGGCTCCGACCTCGCTTTCTTACTGTTGATATGGGACCAGTAGGCTCTGACCTCGCTTTCTTACTGTTGATATGGGGCCAGTAGGGGCTAGGCTCCGACCTCGCTTTCTTACTGTTGATATTGGACCAGTAGGCTCTGATCTCGCTTTCTTACTGTTGATATGGGACCAGTAGGCTCCGACCTCGCTTTCTTACTGTTGATATGGGACCAGTAGGCTCCGACCTCGCTTTCTTACTGTTGATATGGGACCAGTAGGCTCCGACCTCGCTTTCTTACTGTTGATATGGGGCCAGTAGGCTCCGACCTCGCTTTCTTACTGTTGTTATGGGGCCAGTAGGCTCCGACCTCGCTTTCTTACTGTTGTTATGGGGCCAGTAGGCTCCGACCTCGCTTTCTTACTGTTGATATGGGACCAGTAGGCTCCGACCTCGCTTTCTTACTGTTGTTATGGGGGCCAGTAGGCTCCGACCTCGCTTTCTTACTGTTGATATATTTAAAACATTTCTTGGGTTTTTTTTTTTTTTTTTTTTTACTCTCCTCCATTCTGTCTCCCACGGTCTATTTTAGCCTTCCCAATTGCGTTCTTACACCTCCTATTGCATTCCCGGTAGTGTTGGAATGCCGAAAATGACCCTTCGGCCTTATATTTCTCAAAGGCCTTTTTTCGTTCGATTTTAGCCATCCAGGCCTTTCCTTCGCTCTTTTATATTTGTTGCCCATAGGAATGCATTGGCTAATACCTTTATGTGTTCCTAAAGAACTCCCATTTTTTTCTCTCCATGTTCAATGTTTCTAGGATCCGATCCCATTTAATGTCTTGTAATGCCGAGTACAAGAAGAAAAGTTGGCTCACTTGAAATTCCGTGTTTTCGCGTTACCCTCGTGCCCCTCTTTTATTGTGGTTTCCTTTGATTACCCTGTGATCTCTGTCGCCCAAGCTGTCCCCCATTTCCACCTCTGTGACCAGAGCCATGTTATTTGTAACAGTAGAACTAGCAATGCATTCTTTCTAGTCGGGGCATCCACCAATTGACACATAAAATTGTTCCTGCAGGACATTTATGAAACGAGGAGCCTTTGACGAGTGAGCAGTGCCTTAGTGATCAGATCCTATCCAAAAGCCTTAGATCCATCCGTCAGGGTTGGACAAATCAGGGTCATAGCTGAGAGGTGGCTGCCAGGAAGAACTGAGTTCTAGAAAGTGCCTCCTACTGCTTGTTGGTTGGCTTCACATCCTCCAATGGAATGGTAGACACTTTGTTATGACGGGATACTGCCAGATCCACCTTTTAACAAAATCCTCCTCAAACAGGTACAAGACTGATAGATACTTGGGTGATACAAACACCGTGTCAGGATATTTCCAGTCCTGCAACAGAAAGCTTTTGGTGGCCTTGGAAGCCCTAAAGGAACCTAGACTTGGAACATCGCTGGTAGCAGCTACAGGTTGACCTTCCAGTTTTAAAGTGGTGGTGTGCTGTGTACCCTATCAATAGGAGCCAAAACAGTCTCTTTGGGTTTGGGAAAAATGGCAAAAGACTGCAACTCCTCAGATGAAGGAAAACAAACCCAAAGTAGATCTTCAAAGTCCAGACAATGCTTGGACCTACAACTTAAGGCGGTGGTTACAGTGATGTGTTTAAATAGACTAAAGCATGGGTGTCAAACTGGTGGCCCTCCAGCTGTTGCCAAACTACAAGTCCTATGAGACATTGCAAGATTGCCAGTTACAAGCATGACTCCCAAAGGCAGAGGCATGATGGGACTTGTAGTTTGGCAACAGCTGGAGGGCCACCAGTTTGACACCCCTGGACTAAAGGGCAGAACATCACCGGCACTCCAAGAAATGCATTTCAGCGATTTATTGTTAGTGAAAAAAAAAAAAACAAAACACGGGTCAAACTACCGTACCAACCCTTAGGGTTCCCTTACTAGGGGCAACTCGGCCTGGCTTGCCGTTTCTGGGCAATGGAAGTCACGGAAACCACTCCATGTCAGGTGTCACTCACATCTATGGTCATGCTGTAGGAACTGGAGCCATTAGTGGAGAGTGAGCCGGAGGCACCCAATACAGTGCGATTACCCTCTCTGTGTTGAGAACCAGACATGTCGCATTGCATGGCAGAAAGCAATGTAGCTCAAGGTACGAGGCGGAGGCTCAGGTACACATGAACCTGACTATTTTAAGCAGGTGTAGGGGTGGGTGACTAATGGTGACCAGGTAGTCTGGCGCAGTAGGAATGGTCCAAGGATTAGAGTAAAATGGTTTCTGCAAGCTTCCTCAATGCTGCTCGCCAGAAATGCAGCACAAACGACCCTCTCAGTGCTCAGTCCCTCAGTGCTGGACGTTTCTGTGGTAAACCAATGGAAAATTGGGGATTTAGGAGGGCCTGTCAATTCCAATGCAAGGTAGATCCCAGTGGTTAGT